CAGAAAGAGTAATATTACAACTAAGTAGCTGCCGCCATTGTTGGAATTCAACTTTTGCGAGATCCCGAGTTTGTTTTGCGAGATCTCGCAAAAATTTTGCAAGATCCCGAGTTTGTTTTGCGAGATCTCGCAAAAGTCCGTCGTACAATCATGTATTTAGGAGCTTTGATTTGACTTTGTTACACGTCAACAGGTTTAAAATGTCCCAAGTCTTCAGCTGTAAAAGTAAGGATAAGCAACATATGAAGTTAAACTCCTGAAGTTAAACATTTGATGTGGAGAAAATTAACTCCAGAAATATTTGAAATATCATTTTAAATGTTTCGGATAGATCAGATAAAAGCAAAAGGTGATTAGTCTGACAAAACATGGGTATTCGATGTCCAGGGGTGAGAAGGCCTTGCAGAAACTGGTGAAACTGGAGTAATGATTGGACTCATGTAAGGTTGGTCAGATGAAGGATTCTCCGTGCTTTCTCTTTATGTTAACAGTCTTTATCTTCAACAAGTTGTGACAGTTAGACTTAATTCATGTTGTGTCCCAGAGACCATGCGGGGGGCAGTCGGTTCATGCTTTCCACTCAGTTCCTCACCGGCTGCAGACTGAAGCACGTCCCTGTGGACATCACAGCTCACAGGCTGATCCACCTGAGGCTCTTTAGTATTGTCAGCATTGGTTTGAATGCCAGCAAATGAATGAATTTCTCCAGAATGAATTCCAAATAGGAAAGACAGTTATTTGTATTCATCCAGAAATCACTGAAGTCCTGAGTGTGGCTGAGAATGACTCAGGCAGATTCCTCTGACGCAGACCGGTCAGACATAACTGTCTGTGTCTGGCTGCTGAGGTGGTGGATTTGAGATCATGTAAATATCAAACACGCCTTGGGGTTCGGTGACGAGCCGCTGTCTTTCGTCCTTGGACCTCCTCAAGTCTCTTATCTGTCTGTGAAAACAGAGCAAGTGGCCAAGGCGGCAAAGGCGTCTGACAAATCCAATCAGTCATACTCACCGCAGGGTTGGAGGAACTGACTCTTTTTACAAGTAGCCTCAGTAACCAGGTGCAGTGCTGTGTTCATGTGCCGTTATGCACTCAATAACCTCATAACATCTTCAGGCTAGAGGCTATGACAGTACATTTCTTAAGTAGTTTTATCTTTCTGCACATTATAAACAAAAAAAAAACAGAACATTTGTTGTCATTCACACCTGTAGACTTTTGGGTCTACTGGTGTTTTTGATAGCTTGACAGATTTTTGTAAAATATTCCTGTCATACTCTTGCAGCAATATGACTTGTTTTTCTACTCTATAATCAGCAGCTGTGTCTGAGTCGTTTTGGCCGCCTCCTGTGGCAGCACTGCAACACAAATCATTTCTGAGAGCAGTGCGTCTGACAGAGGTGAAAAGTGTAAAAGCAACAACTTTACAAAGTCAAAGTCAGGTCAATGCGGGTACGAAGGGAAATCAGATGATGATGAGACACAAACAACAAGCTGTGCCTCACTCACTGCTAGAAAAGATGGAGTTTCCACATTACGGGACGCACTGACATAACCTATGCTAGTTCCAACACCGTGGCTTCAAGTATCTGCTAACAGAGAGTAACAGTTAAATTAAGTAGCTGCATTCCTCTCTTTGAGGACAAGAGTGGGAATCATTCTTTTATCTGCAACGCAGCATGATGTCTTTGTGAAGCACATCCAAGAACATAGATTTACTGAACTGGAATTTGTTAGAAAAACAATAAATGACATGTTTTTAACCTCTTAAGCCCCAAGCCTACCTGATCTCCTGCCTTTTGCCCCCGTATCAGGGGGCGTTGGGGCTTAAGAGGTTAA